TCGTGTCATTAGTGATAGGACCAGGGGGAATGGTTTCAAGCTACGGCAGAGGAGATTCAGGCTGGACATGAGGAAGTATTACTTTTCAGAAAGGGTGGTCAGGCACTGGAATGGACTGCCCAGGGAGGTGGTGGAATCACCGACCCTGGGGGTGTTCAAGGAAAGGCTGGATGTTGTGTTGAGGGACATGGTTTAGTAGGAGCTATTGGGAATAGGTGAACGGTTGGACTGGGTGATCTTTTAGGTCTTTTCCAACCTTAGTGATTCTATGATTCTATGATTCTATGAAATTCAACTGTGGGTGTCTTCATTTCATATGCTCTTTACCAGTCCAGTAGAAACAAAAAAGATGTTTAATTAGTTTTAACTCTGTATTAAACTCTGAGAGCTTACTATTAAAGCCCTGAGGACCACTGCTATTTCCAGCTGCATCAGTAAAGCAGGCATGGACTGCAACCTTTTGCTCTCTCCAACAGATTTCTACTTACATGAGGTGAAACAGCTAACACATAAAAGGTATGCAAGAGAAGTCAGTGCTGAAATGAGACAAAACTCATACAAAGCCATTTACTGAACAAAGAAAGTGTGGTCTCTAAGCACTACAGGTAAAACAATGAGCTGATGGATTCAGTTTGCATCCCTGCACTGAGGATTAACTTATAAATAGCCTGCACACTACAACAGGCCACAGTGACGGCAGCCAACATAGGAACAATAGAGATGAGCTTAGCACATAGTAGGCAAGAACAGACACATTTCTGTTAAGGGACTTCCTCCATCATCCAGGCATCCTACCAAATCCTAAATGGGAAGTAGTTCAGCTTTGCATGCCCTTTTATTAACACAGCCTGAGCAGAACACAAGCTAGAGGGACCATGCAGATTCTAGAACAATGCTAGAACTGTTCCTTCACTCATTAAATTGCCTGGCTGTACAAAGAGATTAAATGCTTCTGTTACAGCATCTGTAAGCAGAACATGAGACTCTGAATGAAGGAACCACTACCACTTGATTTGCTTTGGACAGACATTTTCCAAGCATCAGCTGATAACCCACAAATTTGTATCTGGACACCCCTTCCCTCCCCTATGGGCAGGGCATGATAGTTAAGCTGAGAAACTCGTCTGTCAGCAGTACCCTTCTGCATTGCCCAGCTGCAACGCATGCTTCTGTATGCACACTAGTACACAAAATGAAGGGACTGTTTCTCAAAGCAAATTAAGTTCTTGTCCCATTCTTCTCCCCGCCACCACACTGGCTTTCAGTTGCACATGACTGTGGTTAACTTCAAACTCACTCAATTTCTTATTTTCATCTGCACAGACTTACTAAGCTACTCTGGGCTATTTTCTTAAGCTACTGGATTCCTGCACCAGCCTCTAAAGGGCACCACACGGTGTCAGCATTCCCCTCCATGCGCTGAATATGAAAGGAGCCAAAATCTATGTAAAGTCACCACGGTCACTATCGCTAAGAAAAGCAGCTGTCTGGAGCAAACATTCTTCTTGACCTTCAAGAAAATGTCAGAGGTACAAGGCAGCCAGATTCTTGATGGCTACCATAAGAGCAGACAGGCTTATAACGGGGTTTGATAATTTCTATGTTGCAGAACATTTGATCAGCACATTAAAGAACTAGCTGAGACAAAATTGAAAAATTCACTGTGGCTAGTGCTGTGAGAATGACAATCTCCAACAGATGTAGAATTTTATTTTAGACATCTCCACAGCTTCCTGGACAGCCCTATTTCATTCCTTTTACAGACTACAGACCCCTGGCAATCATATACAGCCTTTCACTTAAGCTGTTTCATCTTGGATATTCAAAGCATTTGACTCAGACTTTTCCACTGCATACTGCACGTGTCAGACTTGTTGAACAAAGGTTCTCTCTCTGGTTCCCTTCTGAGAATGAAATCATAAACAGCATTTTGAATGAGCAACTAGTTCATTGTCAATCTGCTGCAACCAAGGTATTAAGACCAGAGGAGGCACACGCAGAACCTGAACTTGAAGTTTCACCTTGTTCCCTGAAGCATCCTTCCCTTTCCCTTCTTCTTCTACATGGAATCGGAGGTTCTCCAGCAGGATGATGGAGCCATTTGCAGGATTAGCACAGGCCTTCTCCACCTCAGGACCAACACAATCCTTCAGGAATAAGACTTCCCTGCAAAGACAAGATATACACTGTCATCCCACTAGTGACTCTTTCCAAAAGGAAAGCATCCAGGTCTGCTCACAGGGAGAGACTGATGCACGCTGAACTGTTCTGCTACTTCACCTGCCCAAGAGAGCTTTAAGCTCCACAGCTACTGGAGCCAAGGAGAACTTGTCAGGCATGGGAACTCCATCTGGGCGGCCCAGGTGACTCATCAAAACCACTGATTTGGCTCCATGATCCAAGCAGTGCTTAATGGTAGGGACAGCTGCCTTGATTCTGGAACGGCAGAGAAAACCAAATGAAAAAGGATTCAGCTAGAGTTTGCCACACAAGTAGACTTGATAATCACTCACACAAGAGTCCTGGAAGTTGTTCTTCAAAAAGGTAACAGAAAGAGAACACGAGAGCTAGGTAGAACGATTACTTAACATCCTACCTCTCATGTTCACACAGTTCAGTGTACTTCTGAAGACAGCAGGGCATCGCCACCAGTACATTCCTAAAAGGGACACTGGGCTTCTCAGCAACCTACACTTGCTAGGACAAACATCTAGGAGACTACCACACTTCACAGAGCACAGCTGCCCTGGTGCTAACCCAGCCTATTTCCTTCCCAGGGAAACTGACAATCCCTGAAGCACAGTCATTATGCATCATATACCAAATAATTTCCCTATCCCACAGTGTTTTCAGATTTTCTGCTGTGATCTTCCATGATAACAGGAGATGGAAGTCAAATGTGCCCTGTCATCCAAATGCTGCTGATAGCTCGTAGCTAAAAATTGTCAGGAAGCATATGAATACTACTGGGCTCCTGATCTAATCACTGATATTGAATCAATAAGAAACGATGGGAATGCTGACCAAAACTGTTATCTGCCTACAAATGATGGACAAGCAAGATAAAAAGACATTGTATATCCCTAATTCTAAGCCCTGTGTTTTCATGTGCAGCTCCAGAACAACTATGCTGATGTAAAACAACAAGTTAACAGAGTAAGGAGAGCAGAAAGTCTTCTGGATGCTACCATCAAGTACAGCAATCAGAGCCAAACAGACATTTGGCTGTAATGTGGTCATAGTACTGCAACCATACTTCAGAAATAATGGTTAGGATCCATACAGTTAAGTGGTATTTTTTATGTGCTCTCTACAGTGAGAAGCTCTGTGGTAAGCGTTGTTTGCAAACAGCTGCAGAAACATTTAAATAACCATTCTGAGTCAACTCTAATACTCTAGTACTAGCAGGGACAGTGTAACCACGGTACCATTCCAGGTACTGCTAACAGAATTGGGCTGAAATGAGAGAGAAAATGGACTCCAGGTCTTCATTTTGGATGAAAATTGGGTCTCACCTTTGATTGTTGGTTATTTTGTGATCCTTCATTGGAACATTGAAATCAACCCTAAAAAAAGCAGAAAACAAACAAAAAAAAATTTAACAAAGAATGAGGGAACTTGAAAGTAAAGCATCTATCTGGAAATGCAGTATCATTAAGGTTAGAGTCAGATTTTCAGCTGCTTTGTGCCCAAGTTCTGTTACAAAGATCCGTGTGTTATTAGCCATTTATTCTTGTAACGACAGTATAACTGGAGAACGAGCAGCAGGCTGCACACCACCAATACAAGCCAACTCTCACGACCACAGCAGCAACGATGCCAAGGCATAAAATAAAACTGAGACTGAACGAGCTGCCCCACTTCTCCTTGTGAAACCCATGCTCTCAGATCACCGCCTGGGAGCTTTCCGTTCTTCGCAGCTCCAATCCCCTCGGAGCCGAGCACTACGGCCGTAGGGAAGACCCTACCTAGATGGAGAGGAAACTTCCCCTACACGCGCCACAGGAAAGGATAAAGGGGAGGAGTTCCGCCAGCCATTTCTGCCTAGCATACCTCGTGCCCACGTGGTGAGCAGCAGGAAACCGGTTGTGTAACAGCTCAGGGCAGAAATTATTCGCAGAGCGGCTTCTCTCCTCCCTGACTCACGCAGGGAAAGCGTGGCCAAGGCACGGCGCTGAGCAGCACCATCTTTTTCCTCCCGAGGAGGAAGGGAACGCCTAACCGACTGTAACGGAGTATCAGACCCAGTCAAAAGCACGCTACAGTTTATCCTTCGTTATTCCACACCTGTACCAAAAACACCCCCATTTAGTAGTCCTTGGATTTTCTTGCTGCCTGCTCGACACGGAGACACACGGGAACGACAAAAGCCGCCAGCAAAGCGGGAGGAGATGAGCAGAAACAAATCGACCCGGCAGCCAAGCACAACGAACTAAGTCTACAAACCGGACACGAGAGCACCGCTACCTCGCCGTCATTCCCCAGCGGGGCGTAACAGAGCAGCGCAGAGCACGGCGCGCTCCCCGAACAGCGAAACCGGCGCGTGTTGCACAGCGACCGGGAGGCGCCGGGAGCCGCAACGCGCCTCTCGTAACGCAGCACGCGGATTCGCTCGGTAGGACCGCAGCCGGGGCCTCGCCGTCCCCGTTTACGCGCACGGGGCGCGGCCCGGCTGCTCACCTCATGACGACCCGCTTGCCCTTCACATCCACCTTGTCCAGGGTGAGCTTGTTGGAGAGAGACATGATTACCACCGATTGCCGACCCCGCCGTCCGTTCACTGCCGCCGCCGCCCTCACTCTGCCGCGCTACCCGTCCGCGCTGCCGCTACGCCGGCCGTCTCGTCCGCGTCCGCTGCTGATTGGACCCACGGGGTCCGCGGCGTGCTCCTATTGGACGAGCCGCCCGCCCGTCAGCCATCCGCCCGCCTCCGCGAGAGGCCGCGCTGCGGCGGAGGCCTGGTCACGTCCCGCACGGAGCCGCCGCCGCGTGGGGGCGGCGCGGGGTGAGGAGGGGCATGCGGCACTTCGGGCCTCGTCCTCGCGGTGCTGCGCTGAAATGAATCCCCATTCATTTCCAGTCTCATCGAAATGAATGCTTCTAGGTGTTATTTTAGGGCCAGTTCTACAGAAAGGGCGAAGACGTGCCTGCGGGAGGGGAGCCTTGAGCTGCAGCGTGGGCACCGACCCGCTGAGCTGGGGCTGAAGGACCAAGAGCAGAACTGACGACTCGTGGCTCGGCCTAACGTTTGTCGGCAGGTTGATGCGTTGCCATTCTCACTCAACAGACGCTTGTGAGGAAGGCCTGTTAGCAAGTCAAATGCTTGATCTTTGCTGTTCTGCTCTTTGCTGAAGGCAGGGCTACGCGTGGCTGAGCAGTCTGCAACAGAACAGGGAGAAGAGGACACAAAATTGTGCTTACAAGAATCAAAACATGAAGGTATGCAGAGACCAAAACTAACGCATTCCCTCACATGTGGACTGAAACATCCCACCAGTGCTGGAGCAGAAGCTGAGGAGCCCTGTGGTGTGAGGGGTGTCTGAAGGCTCCGAGAAGGTGGACAGGCCTCAAGGCAGGTCAGAAACGTCCATACAACCAAGTTATTTGCCAATCCCCCTGGCATTATCTGCAACTTTAAAGTAGTCTGGGTTCAAATTAAAATAGGTCAGATAACGGTCTCAATACACTGCAAAGTAAACCTAGAGTGGATCCAGATTAGTAAACCTGCTCTGAACCTCCAGTAGCCAGCAGGGATCTTGTAAGGCAGAGACCAGAGTGCAGCGCTGTATCACCAGTAAGCTGGGCAGTCCAGCACCACTGATGCTATAGTGCTGATCACCACCAAATCAAATGCTGAACTGGTCCCAAATCCAGCTTTCCCACAGTCCAGATTTGCTTTCTTCAGTACTTGAATTCATTCAGTATTACAAGGCCTTCTTTTGAAAAGCTTGTGTGCCATCTCTTGGCAGTAAAAAAGCATGAAGGAGAAATGTCATAGTGCACACAGTAACCTGAGCACCCGCAGTAATACAAGATGCAAGGTGGTTTTATGGCAAAGCTGCTTGAGGAGAAGGGGCAGTGAGACTCTTGCTAGCCCTCAGTTAGCAGAGAGTGGTCAGGAATAAAGGACTGCACAAGTCATTTTGACTGAATTTGGGAAGAATCAAATAGTAAAAATACTTCAAAACTATTTCCAACATAGAAGTGAAATACAGGAATAGAAATACAGGAATAGCATTCATGCTCTTCCAGTGCAGTATCCTACAAGGATAAGAATAATAGAAAACAACCAATAAAATGCAACTCACTAGGACTAAATCCACTACAAATATATAAGAGGCCAGTACTGTGTAATGTCTTTGATAATCTGAAATTAGGAGCTTAGTGCAGCTATAAGGGTCCGTTGATTTTGGGCATCACTGCAGGCATCATTTGTAAGGTGGACTCAGGTTTTATGTTTGCTTGTTTCTTTCTCTGTTAGGAAGCAGGCAGGAGGGAAAGGGTGGGAAGAAGTCACATAAGAACTTGTGGGGAGGAGGAAGAATATAATTTCAAATGGGATATGGCTGGGATTGTGTGCGTTGTCAAGAAATTAAAGAAAGGAGAAGCATTACAGATGTGTGTTCAAGACTCAAAGCTCATTTCCACGTTTGAGTCACCTTTCTGACCTTCCTGTGTTGTGAAATATCTACAATATACTGCAAATATTTAAAGAAAAAAGCCTGTGCAAACAGTTCAAACCCTGTGCTTTTAAAGTAACTGATACAACAAACTCAGGAGGGCAAAGAACAGGTAAACTAAAATAATTTTAAAAAGCAAAAAAAAAAAAAAAAAGCAAAAAAGGATGTGGTGTGAGCACTGTGGTGAGTCATTTCTGGGAACATGAAGCAGAAATGTAGTTTTCAGGGACGCAGCCATCATCTGCACCATCCTGCCTGCTTTCACCAAAAGGAATGAGATCGCGGCAAGTTTAGACAGACTGTGGGCTTTTGTACACCGGCCTTCGTGTTTAAATGAAATGAGCAGAAGGGCTTGGAGGCCGCTTATCTGGGTCTTCTGTGCCACGTGATGCAGCCATCCTGTTTTTAGAACTACTGTCTGTAGTTTAAGTTTATACTTAAAAAAAAACCAACCAACAGGTTTCAGTGGAATTTGCAAGGTAATAATTTTGTAAGAAAGCTATGAGGGTGCTTTTTGACTTTCTCCTTGAAATGGAAGATGTTCAGGAAGGAACCTGAACTGCACCTTTCTCTATTGTAATTCAACCAGCTGTGTTTTGCTCTTGACATTTACTACTGCCTAAATCAAAAAAGGGACAACAAATCAGTGTAACCAACAGTCAGGAAATAATAAAAAGAGAAATCCCCACTTATTGCAGCAATAGCTCCGTCAGCGATTGGACGGCGAGCAGAACGTAACTTATTGTGCAGTTCGGAACGCAGGGTGAACCGACGGAAGCACGGACCGCCCGGCTCCCGGTGCGCCCAGGCTTTCCGCGCAGCAGATGCCGCTTCCAGACGTTTTAAGGAACAGGGCCCCCTGTGGGGAGCTCCGCGATTGCTCACTGGGCACTAATGGCGTGCCAGCACTTGCCCAGGGGTTTCACTGCTCCAGCAAGGAACAACGAAAAGGTTTTTCTGCCTCCCCTTGCAAATATTCCTCCCCAGACTCTGCCAGGTGCTCCCTCTGTGTTCATCGCCTAATCCTTTTCACTTTGTTTTCCGATTTGCTTTACTATGTTTTAATACATTTCTTTAATTGCTCTTAAACTTTCTGATGTAATGTCTGCTTTGTTAATTGCTCACTAACTGTTGAACGCTGAAATAATCTGGTCCTTTTTGCCTGTTTCTCTTACCTTCTTAATGAGGATATTTGCTTTGAGCACAAACCAAAGTTCACATAGCTAGGCAGGCAGGCTGTGGAAGCACGGGATACAACAGAGGAGAAAGAAGGTAGCACTGATTTCCTTCTTTGCTGCTTTTATCTTGTGAAACTGGCCATGGGAGACTGACTGCTCTGCTTGCTCTGCTGCTCTGGCAGATAAGGCCTCTCTGACAAAGACACAATTATTTGCAGCCTGTTCTCTGTTCCCTGAAGATGCCTATTGAGTTCAGTGGCTCAGCAGACTGTACCTATTTTGAACTCAAGCATTTTACAGCAAGGAATGTTCTCCCATTTCTCAGAAGCATCAGCCAACCACAGCTCTGTGCAGAATCCTGCTCTTTACAAGTCCCCTCTCTTGCATCTGGACGTGTATGCACACAGCTCTCAAGCTCTTGTTCAGCAGTTCATTTTAGTTATGCACTTAATGGGATACAAAAATCTTATCCTCTTCAGGAGTTCTCACTTGTCATCTAGAAGACATGATATAAATTCATAGCTACTAAAATTATCCAGTTAACTGGAAGGAAAAAAAAGAACACTGACAGTAGCACAGCTCTGGCATCTGGGCAGATGCTGAATTTTGCCTCAAAGCCTGACCTTCAGGGCTCTCAGACTGCTCTGCTGAGACATTTTCTAAAAATGCTACTGGAAAAAAAAACAGGGAAGAATGCATTTAAAATAAACTTAGCTATACTAAAAGCTATACTAAAATAAAAGCACTTGGGCGGGGATTAAAAACAAACATGAGGGTTCCTCTGAAAGTAATGCCTCCTGTTTTATTCTGTTGGCTCACAATGTCAAGATGCAGATGTTGGTGGGCTGGCAGTGGAGGGGCAATGGAAAGTGGAAAATACCCTGGAGAAAACACCAGCCAGAGACCAGAGCCTGAGGACCAGGTTAGGGTTACAGTGAAGTAAAAAGGGCAGCTGGACAGAAGAGCTGAGAAGGGAGCCTTCCTCAGTTACCAGTCCTCATTCCTTCAAATATTGATCAGAGTAATTCCTGCACTGCTGCAGGGGATTTGTGCCCAGTCCAAGAAGTATTCTGTGGACGGAGCCTGGCCATCTCCACTACAGACAGACAGGAGTACTCACTCTGAGCTCTTCTCACAGGTTCGTGCCTGACACTTTTCCTTGAGACATGGTGTGACTGCCTGAATGATGGCACTTCAGCCAGACTCTTCTCCGTAGTAAAGGCAAAAAGAGCAAGAGAGAACAGGCACGAACTGAAACACAGGAATTCCTGTTTCATCTCAAAATAGGAAAGCTTTTTTTTCCTTCCCCTGCTCTGAGCAGTGGTGGAGACACTGAAAGGTTTGACAAGACTCAGTACTGGGCAACCCGCTGTGGCACCTGCTTTGTAAGATCTGCACTTCTTGTGCTCCATTCACAATCTTCAGCAGCCTTCCAACACCAACTACTCTCATTCTGTAATGAGATGTTCTTTATGTAGGGATTATTCCCCAGTTTCCCAGCTTTCACTCAAACACACTCTTTCAAGTAGGCTGGGCATGCAGCTGAAGGGCATGCAGCTGAGTAGCATTGCAAGCACATGTAAGAAAACCCTACTACTCATCCTTAGCCAAATCAGGGGAAAAAACCAGAACAACACTGCTTCACCTTTCCAGTTTCAGAGTGAGTTCTTACTTGGCAAAGACAAAATGCATGCAATATGAAAGGCCTTCAGAATCATCCTGTACACACACACTTCAACCTGCTGCATGGTGAATCCAACATCACCATGTCCCAGAGATGCCACGTGTTGCCCTTTAATTTAACAGTGTGGAGGAAGGGATGGGAACAAATTTTGAACAGCTAGCTGCAGAATCTGTGAAGTCAGCACACAAAGTAAAGGAGATCACAGAACATGATTAAAGATAGATCTTTTATTATACAGTTTATAATTATCACTATAAGAATGGAGGAACAATCTTAAAAGAATGAGAATTATGAAACTGCATTTTCCTCAATATAAAGAAATGTAACAGTACTAAATTAACATTCCATAATAGCGTTCTTTCTTCCATTCAAATTTAAAGCATTAGGATGGAACTTGTTTTAAGCAACATCTGTAATAAATAAAATTGCTTGCTTTCACTGTGTTCTGCCAGCTTCACATTCCTTTTCATTTAAAATTTCAAGTGTCTACACTTTTAAAACTTTATTGGTAAGATTCGGAGTGATGCTTAAAGCCTTAAGAGTGTGTGTGTGTATATATATATATATATATATGTATCTTTAAATAAAACAGGTTTTATAAATAGTTACAGAAAACAAAACAAACGAGTAATACATAATTCCATTTGTAACTATGTTTCCAAGAGATATTTTAGATTCTTGAACTCAAACAGTCTACAAGAGGAGTAAGGGACTTACATAGTAAAACATTTACATTTAAGAACACATTTACCTCCCACATTATTTCACTTGCACTGTACATTCAAACTGAAAAATATTTTGGTTCTTCACTGTAAAGCACCTTGTAAGATATTTTCATCACAAGAACAGCTTTCTGCAAGTCACTATTACACATCAGGCGAGCGAGAAGCAGGGCTGCACAGACAAACTGTTCTCAAAGACCTGGACTTCCTTAATCAGCTGTGCTGCACTAAATGCACTGTGTACTAAATTAGAGTTCAAAAGACATTTACAGGCAGGTTTTCTTACAGAGGAAAACTGGATTGAAAAGGACTTCCAGGCTCAGTCCTGACCAGTGCTGTTAGCAAGAGGCATCGCTTCATGTGAGCTTCTGTCAGAGGTTTGGTTTCTACCCATACCAGCTCTAAAAATGTATTTTGCAAGAATGGAACAAACTCCTCATGCAGCTTTATCTACGGAGCAGGGATGCGATCCCATGTAACTGCTGTATCTTTGCAGTAAGGGCACGATGTCTGTCACTTACAGACCACATGCACCATAGCAGGGGCTGGAGCAGCACCCGCAGCAGTGGAAGTCACTGAAAGAATGTCAGGATCTGCCTTGTGCCTTTGTGTGATTTAGATGACCCGTTATCAGCAAAACTCAGACAATAACTTGCAAAACATCTCCTGTTTCATCTGCAGAATCTTGCTGAGAACAACACTGAGAATGAACAACATTTAACAAGACAACTGAAATCTTTGGAAACTGTTTACACAGCCTTAAAGCACAAAAAGCTGCTTGAGAGCATTCTGCTGGCCTTTAGGTAAGTATCCAGTTTGAAAGAAATAGCTTTGTTGCTGAAAACCAAGAAAAACATCTTCATGAAATGGCTTTGCAGTAGTGCATCTCAGAATTTCATAACACAACATATAAATACAACCTAATGGGAGTGAAAACCTGTACTCACGTAGAGATATTAAGAGCCTAATTCTGAGACAGAAATACTTTGTTTCTTAAATTTGTGGCAGCAATCAATTTTGTTTGTCCTCACTGCAATACAGCAATGTATACCGATCTACTAACAACAACATAACCCACAGCACAGTTCTGTTGTTTTTACACTGGTATTTTTCCTGTGTGTTAAAAAAAGTTAAAAAGTAAAGACTGCTTTTGACTTATTACGTGCTCAATCCATGCACTCACAGATTAAGTTAAAAATTAGACCATTACAGAGATCCCTGTCCTATTCTGAATTGGACATTTTAGTGGCACTGTTTGGAATCACATGTTTACACCATTATTTGTATCTTATGATTTAATTCAACAGTATTGAACTTAATAATTGTTTTAGATTGCTGTCTCAGCATAGGATTTAAAAACAAGGTTTACTAAATACCAAATAGGTAGCTAGCTACTGGGTGATGAACACCAACTTTAGTTCTCATTGAGAATATTTTTAATATTCATGATTAAATGATCAAACTCGCATTTTGAGATTTCAGTTCTGTAACAAATGAAGTTGGTCTTAATTCACAAAGCCTAAATCTGAACATCCCAAACTAAAAAGGTTTGGCTTGATGGAGCAGGTTCCGGACCATTCCTGGCCCACTTATCTCTACAGGCAACTGGTGTTAGTGCAGTATCTGAAAAATAAGTTCATTGATGAGGTTAGATATCCCCAGAGACTGGACTGTAAATATTTTAAAGGTAGTCTGTGTGACACCAAACTACTCTGGCTTGTTTAAGGAGTGCTAGTTAATTCTGGCAGTAAGCACTGGCTACATTGCTGCCCAGCCCGTTTGATCTTCAAACACACAATCTTTGTAGGAGTGTACTAGGGCAAGGATGTATAGTGTTAAACCCAGGTTTAACCTGATGTTAGGAAGCAATCACTAAATCTCTTTTGAAACTAGGAGCAAGAAAAGTTGGAACCAGACATTTATAAAAGAGATGGTGGCATTCGAGAGGAATGATTTCTGGTACAATGCAGGCTGTGGAAACAAGAGCAGTCCTAGAAGTTTTTAAGTAAGGCACATCTATCTGCAAACACAGAACTTACAAACTGCCACATTTGTAAAATACTGAAATTTTTTTAAACACAGTATTAAATCTGACTGTGTATAAAGAAACCCGTTTAAAAGGCTGGAACACACATTTCTGCTTCTTTAGTTTCCTTAATTGTATTTTGACATTCTGCCAGAAGATGCTGCACTTCAAGCTTCATGTAAACACAGCTCTATTTGCAAGCTTCTGCCTCTTTTTCTTTTTGACAAGTCTAGTTAAAAAAAAGTACACTAGAAGGCCATTGGAAATAAACTTATTTTCTACATTAAAGAAATACCTGTATAGATAAAATTAAACCCCAGAAAGGCAGAAAAGCATCTGTAACGACGTCCAGAAACGATCTTTGCTTGCACAAGCCTGTAGGCAGTTTTCAGGTTGTTTCGATTATTCTTCCATTTTGTTACTTCCTTTCTCTTTTCCTTTTGGAAATCATTCATAACATTGTGTCATCATCTTCTCCAAAACCTCCCACCAGCAGTGAGTGCTTATCTGGTTCATTAAGAACTATGCTGTTCACTGACCGCTTATCGGAAAAGAGAGAATTTATGGAGGCTCTGCTGTAATTGATGATTCGATCCATTAAACTCAGCTTACGAGTGCCTGTCCCAGTGTCATCAATTCCAATATGGACACTGATTTCTGACGGGCTCTTCTGCTTCATTTGGCCACGGGCTCGGAGCTCCAGTTTCTCAGAACTTGGCTTCTGGTACCTAAAGAAAGGAAGAAACAGAAGAAGGTCAGCATGTCTTAGGTTGAAGTAACAGACACTAAAATATGGAAAGAAGCTAGCTTGTAAGTGCTATTGTTATGCACACCCACGTTTATAATACCATTTACTAAACAGTGATAACAGTTCCAGATTTCACAAAGCTATATAACAAGAAGTTAATTTGGTGCTTTTTGGTCAGGATGCAGAACGGGTAAGGCAGACATGTACCACTCAGTACTGAACTGCTTTAGTGGTGCTGAGCATCTGCAAAACGTGTAACAGCAAAGCGTATCTACTGAGAGCAGACTGCTCCCTGAAACCCTACATGTTAACTGAACTGCAAAGAACACCATTCCTACTCCAGTGCTCCCAACTGCAAAGCAAGAACAAGTTGTTCATTCACAAATGCAGCTTAGTTTATGTATTAACAATCCCCAGTGCTGCTGCACTGTGTACAGCTGAATTGCTTTGGGAGACTCACTTCTCAGAAATCAGCATGTGCTGAGGTTTCTCCAAAACATACAAAGGGCACTAAGGAATTTTAAATTGTGAACGCTTCTGATTTTTACAGTTCTCTTCATGATAGAAATTACATTTTTAAACACTACTGTCTGAAACATTTTTGGTCTGATTACTCTTCTCCAGTAAAGAGAAAACCCACCACAGATGTGCAAAAGTTGTTCTTCAAGAAGTTTCACATTTCATAGTGTCATAGTCCCACATTCATTTTCAATCACTTAGAGAAAAAGGTCTGAGCTTCAAATCTAAACTACAAATAACAACATTGCTCGTACTCACATCTTTAGCAGCAAAGAAGAAAGCACAACAGAAACAGAGGAGGCAGCCATTGCTGCAGATCCCATCCAGGGCTGCAAAACCAGACCAATAGGCAAGAACACACCTAGAAAAAGAAAATGATGAGTTCAGGGCAGGAACATGGCATTCTTCAAGTACAAATCCACTGTCTTCTGTAAAAACCCAAACTCCACTAAACAGTCTAATTTTAGTTCCATTTCAATTATATTTATGAATATACTTTCAGCACAGCGTTAAATGACAAATGCTTAATGTAAATATTTATATTCTAGCTCAGGCAGAACCCATAAGCGAATGCATCTGAATATGTCATTTATATGGTATGATATATAGAAGTAGGCACGCCTTGCCAGCCTTCAGTAAAATGTTTGTTCACAAGATCAGGCTCACTCAATGAACAGTTTATTTTAAAGTGGGTTTATGTGCCAGGTGCATCTATAATAGCTGTAATATCAGAGAGGAAATACGTCACTGCACACTGCAGGCACAGAACTCTGCACTTAATGTCAGTCAGAAACCAAGAAAATGGATTCTATTCCATACAGAAATAAATTGCTGTCATCTAATGACTGAGCACAATCTCATTATCACAGGGAAACATTCACATACCAGCAGCTATGGGAACTCCAACAAGATTATAAATTAGCGCAAAGACAAAGTTGATCCGGATCCTTTTGACAGTCTTCCTTGACAAATCAATACTTGCTACCACATCCATCAAGTCATCCTGGAAGTTAACATTTATTGGGAATGTCAGAGATAAAAAGCGCACATGTGCACCACCACCACGTTCCCATTTTAAAGCTAACTGCCATGTACCGGATGTTAACAGGCTACACGTGCTGAACTTTCTGTAGGCTGATCTATTATGTCTGCATAGAGCTCATACAATGAGCACCAATTTTATTCCAGACATCCCCACAACCCAAATGAACATACACAGCACCGTCTATGTGGTACAGCTCTATATGTTTACCTCTCTGTCAAGGTATTGTTGATATGTGGGAAGAAGTGACTATAACATTGGAGATGTTACCATATGTTCTTTAAGTATAACTCACTACTGCCAAAAGTCACCTCACTTTTTAGTTCCTTGGCCACTCCCAAGCTCTAACTGCCCCCAAATTTGTAGCAGAAAATAAGGAAAGATTTCTTCATGGGACAAGTACACTACTAAACATCAAGACAAAGACAATACTTAATTGTAATTGTTCATGAAGGTGCTACACCAATGCAATTGAAATTATCACACACACCTCTTTCTTACCTTAATGAGAACCACGTCAGCTGCCTCAATGGCTACATCAGTGCCCGTGCCAATAGCAATTCCCACATTAGCCATAGCGAGTGCTGGGGAGTCATTGATACCATCTCCAACCATGGCCACCCGTTTTCCTTCATCCTGTAACTGTTTCACTTTGGCCACTTTATGAGAGGGAAGAACCTCTGCAAACACTTTAGAGATGCCAACCTATGGGGAAAGGTAGAGAGAGAGAACACCAGAATAGCTTTCTCACTAGCTATCGCATTATTAGAGGTGGTAGCTTGTACTATAGAGGCCGAATGCCATGCTCATGAGCCAAAGACCAAACCCATCTGATATGAAAATAAGTCTCATTTCAAAGCTAACATTACTCCCATTCAAAAAGGATTCTTCAGTCCCCCTTCTTATTCACTATACATTACCATTTTCACCACACATCATTTCTATGCTAGCCACATGCAGTAGCAGCATGACAATATCTGTTCTGCAAGTGGAATGTAGCAAGCTTCAAACCACAACACAGACCTAACTGCATACCTGAGAGGCAATGGATCTTGCTGTTTTGCTGTTGTCACCAGTCATTAGAACAACTTCTAAACCCATATTCTTCAATGTGTAGACTGCCAGCTCAGCTTCTGGTTTTACAGTATCAGCAATAGCTATCAAGCCACACAGCACTCCTTAAAAACACAAAGGAGTTTGTAGTAAGTTAGGTTTTTTGGGAGTTTGTGATGGGAGAAGGGAAGTAACGTTTTCTTTAGTAAGATCACTTGCAGAAACACTGCTATTGACAACGAAAGGTGAAATGTGAACAGCTATCAGGGCAGCAGTGTTAAAGGCCACAGAGTACAGACTGTCCAACAGGAGAATTGTTTTTTTCTTCCTTTCCTCTACTTTGCTCTCCTTCAAGTCTTACCTTAAGTTCACACCTCCTATTCAACTGAGAAAGGCAGGAAGAGGTTTTCTAATATGAAAATGTTTCAAAACTTAGCTAATCATGTTTTTTCATCCCATTAGTCTACTTCAGGTGTAACTGTTAAGGCATTACTACTTATCAGTTTCTATTTAACTGCTGACTAATCAACCTCTGAACGAAGGATACGGCAATGAACTTACCATCAACAGCTATGAGAACTGCTGTGCGACCTCTCCTCTCATGTTCAATCATGGCTTTGTCAACATCATTTTTAACAAGAAGGCCATTTCTGTTCATCCATTCCCGGTTACCAATGAGAACAGAGTATTTTTGAGAAGTAACTGCAGCTGAAAGAAAAACTCTTGCCATCATACAGATGATTAGGAAGCTTCCTGCCAGCTAATCCTACTCGTGGTCTCTCAGTATGCACTGAAATATTAGTGAAGAATTTAAGCACTACTGAAAGAGACAAATTTTCCCCTTCAAATCCATCTTTTCAGGTGCTCATGACAAGAACACTGCTAACATTTCATCAGCAATAGGCAGTTACTACTTTGGTGGGCTGAGAATCACAGGTCATGGGGCAGTAAAGGAAAGTCTCTTTCTCGGTGCTTTTAATTTATTGTTCTAATACAGTTGAAAGATCTAACAATGAGCTGCTCTTGATTGAAAAACAGATGTGCAAATAAACATGATTTTCGTTAGCAAACAGTAACTTGGGATGAAACTAGTAAGTAAAGAAGAGAGAGCTAAGAGACAATTCCCCATGATTTTCCAACTCCATAGTTAATAACTTCAGTTGCACTTATACCAACAGAATGTTTTTATCCAAATATCCCGAGTGATGTGTGACCATGAAATAAAGAAACGGCCAACTCTATTTCATAGGCGACTTGATGCAAGTCCAGTTTTCCAGGGCAGAAAGAAAAGAATCTCATTCTTAAGGATCCTGACTAAGATCCAAAACCAAAGGCGTCTTGCAATATATTTAATCTATGAACTGGAGTCAGCTTACTTGGTAAGTCAGCATCAATAATCAGAGCAGGCTGCACCAATTCCTCCTCGTGTTCCTCAACTTTTACAAGTGTCACATTTCTCATATTGTTTTCTTCAACCATTTTATTTTTCCTGTAGAGCAATGGTTCTATATTGGTGACTTTACAGCTAATGCCGCAGCCTGGAACTACCTGAAAATCTGTACATGTCCCAAGGGTTTCTGAACCCAGTTCCTTCACAAAAAAACAAAACAAAAAAGCAGAAAAAAGCAAAGAAATTTAAATATATAGAAACATGCAACATTTACAAAATTCACAAGTTAAAGTATAATCTAAGCAGGAGAGCAGAGAAACATTCAATCTATAATCAAAATGTAAATGTGAGTATCCACTGACTCCAGAATACGATCAAGGGATTTACAATGGCCTCACAATTTTCAATATTCCATTTGAATACATCCATCGTTTCCTAAATGACTCAAGACCATTTGTACTCATCAATTCATGCAGGAGAGGTTTATCTGTAATACAAACAATTTTGCCTACACCATTTACCTTTTTGCAGTATTTTGTTATTGCTGCTCCGAGAGGATGTTCACTGTTACTCTCTGCAGTTCCCACAATTGCCAGCATTTTATTATGTGGCAGTCGATTACTCTCTACGAGGTATTTCACACGCATCACTTCTGGAGTGCCATGGGTAATTGTACCCGTTTTGTCAAATACAACCACATTTACCTGCAGCAAAACAGGAAGACATCATTCCGTGACAAAAGCTTCCATGCACAACTAGCTTGGAAAACCTCATTTTTAATCCAACTTTCTAATTTGCTGTTTACAATGATGTAGAACTCTGCTCAGGCAGGAACTGGCAAAATGCTACTGCTACCAGCCTTCAGAGCTTGCGTACAACAAACCCCCGTTTCTTACCTTATGTGCCATCTCTAACGGCTCTCCTCCTTTGATCAGTATGCCATTCTGAGCTCCTACTCCAGTACCAACCATCACAGCCGTTGGGGTTGCTAACCCCAGGGAACAGGGGCATGCAATACACAAGACTGTGATAGAGGCTTGGAATGCAAAGCGGATTATCACTTCAGCTGCAGAAATGCTCTTATTGTACCCCTAGTGACAGAAATTCGTTTTATTTACAAAAGAAATTCAGCAATGAAAACAATGCATTTAACTACACATCACCCTTGGAAAAAGAAGTAGAAATTGCAAACATGCAAGATGAAGTATTAAAACTGAAAGCACAGGGAAAATTATGCCACAGCTAAGATTAATTACAAAATTCATTATTAGTATCCAAACTTCATTACATACAGCCTATACTCCTGACTTGTTTTATTGATGACATTTTCTTAAATAAGGGACCACGCTCTACGACAGCTCTTCTGAACTTCAATAAAACATACCTCATCAAGAGTTTATGCCACAGCAAAGGCACAAAGATCGTTCTCCTGCAACTAATACAACCTGACTGGAAATCTAGTCCACAGAAAAAAAACGAGAGCTAAACAACCCCAAGGTACAAATCAGGATTCTCAACCTCCTCTGCCATTCACATGGATATGAATTCCACTGATTTCAAAGGTGGATTTACACACAGCTATGCTAAGAAAACTAGAGGCAGAACTGAACATTCTGTATGGGAAAACGTCAGAGCGAAGTCACAGTACAAAATAAATATAAATTAGAGGGATGAAAATAATTTCATGCATTTCCACCCAACAACCTGCAAGGATAATCTAAAAATGGGACTGCTGCAGCCTAATAAATTTGCAGGCTTATTATATATGAAATATTTCAGAAGTCACTGAAGGAGACTGACTTACCAGAAAATATTTTTCTACTATTTCGAAATCCACAAATCCAATTATAATCCAGGCAAAGAGGGTAACCACAGAGACAACCACAATAAAAGGAACAAAGTAGCCACTAATTTTGTCTGCAAATTGTTGTATAGGAGCCTAGGAAAAAGAAAAAACAAGTGTCAGCTCCATCAACACCATTCTTACTGTCTTCTATGCCTTCAGACACAAACAATCATAAACAAAATATCAGCACATTTGGCAAACCATGCTTTGTAACTACATATTTACTCTGTAAAACGATGAGATTTCAAACAGTGAATCATATCAAAGTTCTCATTCAGTTTAAAAAAAAAAAAGAAACAAAACCAAAATTCACGGTCCAGCTGCAATTCAAATCTAAACAACCTTAGCATTTTGCAAACAATTTGGTGTGCTGATGCCCAACTACAACAAAACCCAAATGCTTAGGTTGATGCTACTCTACCTTTGAGGTCTGGGCCTCCTCCACAAGTTTAACAATCTGTGAAAGAGTTGTGTCAGCTCCAACATGGGTTGCTGAAATCAGCAGCGATCCGTTCTGATTAATGGAACCAGCAATAACTGTGCTGCCAGGCTTCTTAGTCACGGGCATCGCTTCACCTAAGGAAAGGTCCACAACAGATAACTGATGGAGCTTTTGCAGCACTGTTATTTCTGGTAATAACTACTGACTCTTATACTGAGAAAAAAGTTAAACTTTTCATCTTCAGATTCATTTAAAAGAAAACAAAAACATGTTTACACTTGCAAACAAAACAAATGCTCACCTGTGATAAGAGATTCATCTACCATAGAGTGTCCTTCAATAACACGACCATCCACTGGGAATTTGCCTCCTGGCACCACTTTGACAACATCACCCCGCTGAACCAGTTCAACATCAACTTGCTCCTCACTGGAGAGTTTTCAAACAAGCCATTGTTAACTGAAGCCACCCAGGCAAAAGCACATAAAGCATAATTCCACCAGTTACCCCTGTGAGCTTAACAAAGGCTGTTTTACAGAGCACTAAGCCTATTATATGTTAGTTTACCTTCCAGCTGAGTAAATCCACTTATTTCCTTATTAGCAAAAATTAGTAAGATTCCAATAAAACAAACTGCAGTGATGCTTACTTTTCTGCATTTTATCATTTTCAAATACAAATCTACCAGCAAATCTGAAGTTATTTTCTTCATAGTTCTACAGAATTATAACATTTGTCTGTGAATTTAATAAATTATCAACAAAAATGGAACAATAGAAAACGCAAATGACAAAGATACCTTAAGAGAATGTTATCGGGGCCCAAGGTAACAATAGTTGCTTCAGTAGCTTGTAATGAAATTAGTCGTGCCAGTGCTTCTGAGGTTTTACCCTAGAATAATAATTTTCATATTTTTCTGACTATGGTATTGCAAAAAAAATTGTGGGGTAAACAACAACTTCATATGCTGCAATTTACTGTTAAGAAAATAAGTTCTGAAAATGGATTTGTATTTCTTCATATTTTTTACTAGTTCAGTTATTGAGGATGATTTCATAACAAAAAAAGGTTAAAAAATATACAAGGCTTTTGTGTTTTTGAAGTATGCACCACTCTGAAATTATACTCAGTGTCCTACAGCTTGTAGATATGCTGCTTTCCATTCAATGATGTCAAGAACAAACGTTTACTATGTACTGTAGGCAGCACAAAACTTCAGCCTTCTACCATCACTACTGAGAACTGTCTGAAATACAACTGCCACGCTATGCTCTTTTTGCCCATCACAAGTACTTTTATGTCCCTTACCTTTGCAACGTGCTCTAGCCACCGGCCCAACGAGATGAATGCCAGCAGCATGGGAGGTGTGTCAAAGAAAGTCACAGGGTTTACTTTTGCTTTCTCAGCCATTGCAACTAGAAGAATTACAAATGAGTAGACGAACGCAATGGAGGTTGCCAGAACAATGAGCACATCCATGTTTGCAGTTCTGTGCTTCAATGCTTTGTATGCCTGTATATAGAAGTGCCAGCCTCCAAATATCTGTAACAGTAATGGCACCTGTTATATTCTGCACACACATTCGTAACACACAGCAGCAGTATTTTGCTGAGAAGCAATTTTTGGGGTTTTTTTTGGTCATTTATCTTCTCCATCACTTACTGAACAAAGTCCCGTCTCTGCTCAAGAGCTACATCTTAGATCTTCCCTTCAGTATTCCTGGATCACCTCATCTCCACGTAGTTCTACCAGCTCCTTCCCATGCCCACTGGCTACAGCTAGACAAGCTGCCCAGATGCTGTCAGACTGCATAGCACCCACACACTGATTGACCTGTCCTTAACAGTCCCCAGCACTGTTTATGTTAGCAGCAGTGGTGGCACCACAGAAGTATTTTCCTCTAGAGTAAGAACAGTCACTTGTCAAATTTAATTTCCCAATGTTTTTCATCTCGAATGCCTAACCCCAACAAACTTGGAGTTGTCTTACCATATTGCCACTTACCTGTACAGGGACACAGAGTAAGAATGACAGAAAATTCATAACAGACAGTCCTGGCAGGAGCTGGTGTTCCAAGAACATAGAGGAGTGAATGGCCTCCATTTCCTCACTACTCATGTTGAGATGTCTGTGAGCATCTGAGAGTTGACTGTCCACAACCATCATGTAAATCATCATCGCCATGACAGGAATACAGAAAACCAGACTCACAAAAAAAGACCTTCTCCACCTTAGGTTTAAAAATAAATACATTTGTTTTGCTGTCAAGTGCTGAATAACATTTTAGCTAGCAAGTCCTTACAGACTAACAAAATTTCATAAACTTTACTAAAAGAGAAAATAGACCAAAAAAGCAAAGATGTTTATATATAATCTAAATATATTCAGGAATACTTACTGCCTTATTTCCTGTCTGTGATCTAGATGACTAGCAGATCTATCTTTTTTCACTAAAGCAGTTGTGAAATCTAAATCCTAAGGAGAAATAAATAAATAAATAAATAAATGAGAACAGTGAAATTTTCAAGACTAACTGCACTCTTAGTAACTTATGCACGTATTACTGATAGCACCAGCCTGCACAACAAATCAAATGATTTGTTTCATTAACTTGTTTCATTCATTTGTTAGTTTTAGATGACTGCTTTTATCTCTGCACAGGTCAACTCAAGAAGTCATAGCCTGAGGTAGAAATCAACTTTTCTAAAACATTAAAATGCAAGTCTGAAACGTGACTTTCAAAAAATGATTATTCCTGAAGTACAGAAAATGAGGGACAATGTCATGTAATTTATTTAATCTCTTTTCTGCTACAGCGTTTTACTCCCCTGCAAAACTACAGGTTAGCTTCAAATAGCCTGGCTTCCCCAGTTTCTCTCTTTAATGGAGCATTGTTTCTGAGCTGTGAGAACGCTCACATTACCTGCAGAAATCTGCACTGAGAGCAAGACAGTGGTGGAGCAGAATTTTTTCCCTTTGATAGCTTTCCCCTCTGTTGTGGAGTATGAAACTATTCAAAAGACACCAGTTATTTTATCAGACGTGGTGCCTTCACAAAACTAACCTTTATCACTTGTATAATATCTCGAGGACCTATGATCTCAGGATCGTATTTAATATGTGCTTTGTTGGTTGCAAGAGCTACTGAGCAGTATAAAACACCATTAGTCTTCATGAGGGTGGATTCTATTTTGTGCACACAAGCAGCAGATGTCATTCCTCTCACCTGTAAAATAAAGGTTTCCTTTAGTCAAAGCAAAAAGTTAATGCATCTTTAGGAAACAGAAAATGTGCTTATAACTACCCTGACCTACTTATTGCTTATGTCTGAGGTCTGGAGCAGCAACACTGGAGGATCATTTATGAAGGATGAGAGCACTACAGAGGAAGACTTAGTTATTAAGCTCTGCTGAACCTCTGCTGCCTCTTTATGCTCAGAGCTGGGACCTCTGTGCTAGACTCAGCTACAAAATAATAAATAGACAAATCCTGCAACATACAGAATAACTCCACCAAAATACAGGGGTTTCTCTTTGACTTCAGCATAGTAGTTTGAGCCAGCATAGTCTGAAGGACAACCTTAAAATCAATACACAGTTTGTGATACGTACCTAATGCACTCCTATGGTTTGAATTTTATTTATTTTTTTACATTAAGCTCTATTATATTTTTCAAACACTAAGAAGCAAATGATTACACAATTGTGTTCAATAGATAAAAATAAAGACAAGGGTAGGTTGTTTTTAATTACTAGCTTACAACAAGATCCAGAATTCCATCTCCTTCACCACTGCTTTCCATCACGGTCGCTCCAAATCCCAGTTCCCGTATGAGCTCTGCAATAGCTGAAGGGTGTATGACAGCAGGATTGTACCTCACCTCTGCCTTCCCTGCCATTAGGGCAACAAGTACTGAATGTATTCCTAGAAAAGAAGGATGTGAAAATAGCTGGCGTTTAAGACAGGCCTCTGTGTTTATGATAATGTAACAGCACAACAGCAATCCAATGAAGTTGAGAAATCTACCACATTTCAGGTACATACAAATGAAATCAAGCATTTCTGCAAGATACATCACCAGTGCAACAAAAGCTTGGGAGTGCAGATGTGAACGATGAAAGTACTACTGCAATTGGAAAACACGCAGCTCGTGTTTACCATTTAATTACAAACAATCATTTACTCTGTATGAAAAGATGACCCACTTATGAAAAAACCTTCTAAAATATACTTCAGCCTATTTTTCTGATTTAATTATAGCATTTCAAAATTCCCTTTGCACAAAAGAGAATTTGAATGAACGTGCTTTGGAAAGTGTAAATCTAACAACGTGCAATCCTACTGTACTAAGTTAAAAGGAAAGTACAAAAAGCTTTTAGGATGGAAAAACAATATTCCAGGTTCACTTGGAATATATCCATCTTCATTATGATAATTAAGTACGGTCTATAATAATGACTCCTCATTATACTTATGCAACTATGCGTTCCTGCAAATTTACACTCTGACAGAAAGACAGACATCATTGTCTTGACTTGCAAAGCTAAAATTAGCTTACCTCTCTTTAATACTGCCATACTAATAATACTTCCATACTAATACTGCCGTTCTCTAATAGTTCCATTTGCAATACAGACATAAATGCTTCTGGTTTTTAGTTTGCAGATCTGGGCAAGTCACACCAATAGAAGAGATCTGTTTCAGTTTCAAGAGGATTCATATTTGATGTCTATACATTCTCTTTAGAGTAACCCAGCTCCTGCTTTTGCAAGGGCAGTCGCCAGCCAGCATGCCAACACAGAACCAAGAATTACATTCTCTTCTCATCCTATGAGCCAACTGCAAGTAGACTGCATTCTCTCTTAAGAAATTTGTTTCAACAGTACTTCTTTTGACAAACCACCAATTACAAACAGTACAAAAACTAAATGTGTTCTCTAAAAGAAATGCTTAGAAGTGTAACAGATCATACTGACCATCTTCTCTTCTCAAATTTCTCTCAATGTTGGCTACACATGAAGCACATGTCATTCCTGTGACTTGGACGTAGCACTTTGACAGGCTCTTGGACTCCTGTTTAGCAACAAAGCCCTGTAACATTTTGGAGGTAGGCACAGCAGATTCTGGCTGCTCTTTGGGTGTGGGCTGAGTTCCCACAGGCGGTCCTGTCTTTTCTGAAAAAGAGATTGAAATTTGTGCCATTACATACAGAAGATGAAATTACCTATGACCTGGTACTACGTAAGGCATTACTACACACACATTTTCAGGCAAAAAGAGTCCAGCTTGCATCAACAATAGAGCAACTCTAAACCTTGCCAGGGGCAGAAAGTGATCAAACTTAGGCTAAGTTTAGAGTGCCATGTTAAAAATATAGCATTGATTTGTACACTTGAAGTGGTACCAACCAAAAACAGGCAGTTTTTTTTTCCCCCCATCCTCATGCCAGAAAATTAAAATTTGACTATTTTATGAACGAGGAGTCTGCAATACCAGTATCAGTTGCTTTGATGGAGTTGGTAATTGATGCACTGTTTTATGAGGCTACAGAAATACTGCTGGCTAAAAAAATTATAAAAAAGATTCCACAGATCATGGAAACATGCAAAATCTTCTAGATTATTTTATCACATATTTTCGCAATACTTGAGCCATAAAAAACCCCCAGTCTTGATTTATCTTTTCTATTAAGAAAGTCATGGCCATATCTAACTGTCTGTTCCAAGCAACATTTCTCAGTCCAATGAAGTGTGAAGAAATTGTCTTCAGGCCCATTCCTAACGTAGGATAGTGAACAGCAGTCAACATTCAGGCACTCACGGTATCGTATTTGCTGTGCGACTTCATGACAGCTGCTTGTTTAAAATCCTGTATTCACAAAGTACAGAATTTATAAGAACAAAAGAACCTAAAACCAAGTTGATTTAGCATTTTAACAGGTGAAAGAAGTAGTGCCTAAGTAGTGCAGAAGTTTAACTAAAATTTGGTCATGAAGTTTGTGGCCCAGTGAAGGGAATCTGTAGGTCGGGTTGTTGGTTGCACCTGATGATCACAAAGATTTTTTCCAATTCAGATGGTGTTCAGACCACTGAAACTTTGCCTGTCTCGTTAAAATTTTTCACTTGCTTTTCCTCATTGTATTCATCCATCTTGTGGTACATCCTTTATCCTCTTTGATAGGTTGCAAGCTAGACATCTGCTTTGCAACCTTAGCTTTATATGTAATTTTATTGACTTTACCGGAGGCACAAGGTTCATACACATTTTGTACAGAAATTCAGTGTTTTTGGCTTTAGAGAATGGCTCTCAAACCACAGACAGCTGCTTCTCATATCAATTCAGATGCTATATTTATGCAGGAGCAATATAAAAGGAATTAAATGTGAGTACGTGGCTTTATTACTTTGGTTACTCCCATAAAATATCTCACTTGCTCTATTCCTTAAAACTTACTGAATAAGAAAAATGAAGCTTCATTGATCCCTCAAGAAGCCTCTTCCCATTAATACTCACCTGGATTATCTCTGTAAACCTTCTGGATTTTGCCACCTAGCTATCTGTTCCCACTGTGCAATTACTTTTAGCATACCAGATATAATGGCAAGCTACATTTTAATTTCTTCACTGATATCCACACTCTTCAGGTTTTTGTCACTCTCAATCACATCAAAGTCAGGTTACAGCCCTTTGGTTACTCCTCACAAGTTTTTCTCTAATAATTTGCTACTAAAGAAACTAGCCCAGTAAGCTACTATTCTTAGCAGCTTGCAAAGGCCCTTTTACCCTCCACGTTCATTTCATGAATATCAGGCAGCAGCAAATTGGGACACCATTTGAACATCAATATTCCTATTTATATTTCCAGATATCTCCATCATTTCTTATTCAGTTCAGAATCTTCAAGGAAGTGTTACATGTACACTTAACTCATTCGCTAACAATGAAGACATAAAGCTTCTCTCCACGTGCAGGAAGTACAACATGCTAACTGCTATTTTCATCTTCAGTGGTATCAAATCCCAAACATAAATACAGAATGGCCTGGGTTGGAAGGGACCTCAAGGATCATGAATCTCCAACCTCCCCCTGCCACAGGCAGGGCCACCAACCTCCCCATTTAATACCAGGCCAGGCTGCTCAGGCCCCATCCAACCTGGCCTTGAACACCTCCAGGGATGGGGCATCCATCAACCTCTCTGGGCAGCTGTTCCAGCACCTCACCACTCTCATAGTAAAGAACTTCCCCCTGACATCCAACCTAAATCTCCCCTCTCTCAACCTAAAACATTTCCCCTTGTCCAGCTCTTATTTACCTTTTCAAAGATTTGATTCCCCTCCTGTCTGTAGGCTACTTTTAGAAGTTTAATATGTCATTACCTGGCAAAGAAGCATCAAACCCCATATTTTCTATGGAGCATCGCAAATCTTCTGGGCATGTCTGCAGAGGGTCATATTCTATAATTCCATTACTATTTGCCAGAGAGACATTAATAGATTTTACACCAGCCTTTTGGGAAATGACTCCCTCAATAGACTGCACACAAGAATTGCAAGTCATTCCCTCGATGTTTATCACAACGACTTGAGTAAGGGGCTGGCCAGCATCCTTCACAGACTTCAGTGGAGACGCCAGTGCAGGGAAAAGTGCTACATTTTCATATTTGTCAAGGAGGCTGACTTGAAATGTCTGTGGGGACACTGCCTCTATGGCACTTCTCAGTACATCTATGGTAATTAAGTTCGGGTTGTATTTTACAATAGCAGATTTATTCTCTAATGAAACAACTATATTTGTTACTGATGGGAGCATTGATATGGTGCTTTGAATATTGAGGACACATGAATTGCAGTGCATGCCATCGATTCTGAAGACAGCAGTCTTTGTATCATTCCCATTTCTTGTGTTTTCTTTCAGTGGTGCTGTGTCAGAAGTTTTGGTCTGAGTATTCTTCAACCTTTCCAGGTCAACACTGTTGAGTTTAAGAGGTCTAGGCTGCTTTTTGAAAGATGCCGTGAAACCTGCAGCTTCGATTTGGCATTTGATCTCTTCTGCTGTAATTAGATGAGGCTGATACACAACAACAGCTTCCTGATTGTCCAAGGACACTGAAAATTAAACAATAAAAAGGAGCGTGCATTACTGCCCTAAGCATAACAAGCATTTTTCTGTAAGAGCAATAGATGTCATCAAGGGTTACAAAAAATGCTTCAAATGTTCAGAAATTTAACTGGAATGGAAAGAAGATTTAAGTGGCCCAGTACATTTCAATGTTTCAAAGTGATTTAGTTCAGTCATTAATTGTCTGGACAATGCCACAATTCCTGCATTTTCTTTTTTCTTTTCAGTTTTTGCTCTTGCCCCAGGATGCTCACAAATGACATCACTATTTCTTAACAGATACATTCTTTTATCCAGGGCCTGCTACATTACATTCATGTTAAAGCTATTTACACAGATAATTTCCTTTTGGATACAATTGTGAAACAATATTAATTTTAACTGGAAAGAAGATATAAACTAATATTAACTGCAACACAGAAAAGACATCTGGTATTGAAGGATTCTATGACTGAAAATAAATGTCAAGAACTCTACTACTACTCCAGTTTCCCTATCAAAACAAACCACTGAATGCTATCATTCACTTAACAGAAATATCCTCACCACAGTTTGGTTCCCCTTTCACTTCTAGTCCAAATTAAACATGCAACTATGCATCTTGTACCACAATAGGTAACTGTTGTATAGAACTAATCTAAAACCAAGGTATCTCCAGAATGCCATCAAAAGACAGTATCTACTTTTTTAAAAAAAAACAAAAACCTATCAGAAAGGCTTTACCTTTAATCCGTTGAATTCCTTGCAATTTGCCAATCTTCCCTTCAATAGTGCTAGTGCAGGAATGGCAGGTCATCCCGTCCACTTTCAGGCGCAACAGAACACTACTTGCAGGAGACCAGCTGGGATCTTCACATGTTCCTGGAGTTACTTCTGGTGGTGAAATACTTAAGCCCACTCCTGGGACCATTTGGACAATCTGCTTGCCATTTACAACCGAAGAAAGGAAAGTCACCACTGCAGATTTTTGATCAGAAGACATCTTAACATCCAGGATACCTTTGTTCTTCAGCAGTGCGCTACGAAGCTCTTTAGATGTTAGAGCTGATTGAGTAGGAATAGTAAGAAAAATTGTGTCAGGTAAAACAGGTTGTGGGTTTGAACCAGCTGACGTGGCATCAAACCCCATGTCATATATTGCTTCCTGCAGCGTTGCTGGAGTGTGCAGTTTTGAGTCATAAATAATGACGGCATTCTTATCATCTAGAGATACCTTGCAAAGAGAAAAAAAACGAAAACCAATTTAGCAAATTGTAACATTAAGAAATAAGAACTAATAACCTGCACGGGATTATGAATAGCTATTATTTGCAGATGTTAGTGATACTTGTCCAGTATCATTTTATCCATCACTACCCACTCTGAACCATGAAGCCATACCAATGGCCATCACACAATAACTTCTGCTCATGTAACAACACGGCTAGACAAAGAAGATTGTTTCTTCTCCTTGCCAATTTCAGAATCCTTTAAGAATCTGTCAGGCCACATTTTCTTAAGACATCCAGGCAACATCAATACATCTTATAGTGAAAGAAACAAAACTTGCAGAGTCAAACTCTCTAACTACTCAGCGCAATTCAACTGAAAGCAAATGAGCCCATAGAAAAAAGAAATTCTTAACTGTTTGCACAATTTTGCAGTTAGTAGTAATATAAGAGTAATTACAAGGATAGAAGAAAAAGTTCTTTGAAAAATCCAGAATATTTAAGTAGCAGTGAAAGGAGTCCAATAACTCTTGGCATTTTAAGCACAGATTATTACTCTGCTTTGTGGAATAAACTGCAGGCTTCAGAGAGCAAAACTCAGTTTTGAAATTAGATACGTGGCCAACACCAAAGAAGCTGGTTTTTTTATTTTTTAATCCCTGTACATTTTGGTGATTCAGAAACTTTCTGATTTAGTATTAACCTTTCACAGTCAATGGTACAAACATCCACAATTTAATTTGCTCCAAACTGATGATACATCAAATACAATTATTGCAGGTTCCAAAAGGAAAAGCCTCCTGCCAGAGGCCTAACACAGTCATTAAATTTTATCTTTTCTCTGGGCAAAGCAACAACCTAAAGGCCACAGACATAATTAAATCACACCAGATAAATGATTTTAAGAACAGCCTGTCTTCATTTCTGTCCAAATTATGAGCCTTAGCAGAATTAGGAATATGGACATTTATTGGTTTCATTGCAGTTGGAGGCAAAATTACCTAAATGCAGCCCTGCTTGTCTGTATGAGCAATCCAGAATTCACCTCTCTGGCTCACCTAGTTCCTAATTGCTCAACATAAACATCACTTTTTGTTTCTCAGAGAATTCTTAGAAATTCTAAAAGCAAATCACGTTTCTGTAAGCCTACATGAACTCCTACTTCACACAGAAGTAAACTGTACTAACTGGCATTTTATTTGCCGCTGTACAGATCATTTGCACCGAATGGTGAACCACGAGAAACCTTCTGAAATAAGCTAGTGGCAACAGCTGTATGCCCCCAGATGCAGAGTGCCAAACATGGCTAAGGAATGTGTTCATCTCTGACATACCCACTAAAACAGAAACAAATTTGACGCAACCAAGAAAATACTATTTGCTCTAGAGTAAACATCAACTACTACAGAATGTTACTGCAAGATTTCACTATCTAGTAATTAAACTTTGCAATTTCATGCAGCTGTAATTGTAAGGACTGCTCCTTCTTGCACAAACTAGCCGTAGGATCAAAAGTTATCTCCTCTGCACCAAGAAAGCATCACAAGTAGAGGTTAACATCAAGGCAGTTCAAGGAAGCCTGGATAAGGGCAAACCAAGTAGCCCCATCAGTTGCTCAGGACTGTAGTTGTGCTGTTATTTCTTTTAATGGACAGCACAAAAGAATGTGAACATCTAGCTTGTTTTAGTAAGCTTCTCATTATTTCACAATACTGAATTAAGCACTGAAATTCGCACTACTGAACTGAGGCAGAATCTTACTTGAGGAGCAACAGATGACAGCTCGGCTCCCTGCACAACTCAGTTCTGTGCAGTACAGTAAGCATTAGCTTTTCTCTTGCTTACACCAGATAAGAACACAACTTTCTAACAAAAGGTAGCGTTACTTACTTTGATGTTATGGATGCCATTCATCTTCCCAACATGCTGTTCAATGGCCTGAACACAGGAGTGGCACGTCATTCCCTCCACACCAATAACTATGGATCTTGCCTCCATTGTCAAACTCTACTCAGGTCTTCTCATCTCTGTTGGTCAAAAAGAATTATGATTTTTTTCTTAAATTAAAAAAAGAAAAAAAACCCAAAAACAATCCGCTGCAATTTAGCAGATGATGTACCTGGCCACGTAACTCTAGTAGATTTCAAAATCTGATCAAAATATGATGTTGGGCAAGACTGAACAGGAAGGAGGCATTTAGCTCCTTGGTCCTATGAATTTTCAGATAGACAAATTGATTGATTTGTTTTATAGTCACAATCATTTAATCACATGCAAGAAAGCTGTGACTCACTGGTGTGAGATTAAATTACTTGGAAAAGAAAGCACTTGAAAAACCAGATTAACAGAGGACAGCATATAAAGCACAGGGACAGGGGACAATTGTCTCTTTTGCTATATTAGCAAGAGGAAGTAATGCTGGAACTATTCCTAGGGAATAAAACAAGCTTTTTCCACATCTCATTCAGAAATATTTAATTTCTACTCCTCTCAAATAATCATTATTTTTGCTTGTCAGTACAAGACCAGGAAAAAAAGCCAAAGCAAAAAACAAATTAAAAGAACTCCCACTAAGCCTGAATGAAATTTGCCTATAGAGATAATATCAATTGCAAAAGAATTCATTTGTGCAACACATAGATTAAGTAACAGAGGACAAGATTTTTTTAAACCTCTGTAAATTCACATTTTTTTCATTATGTTTTCATATACAGCTAATGAGCAGGATGAGAATCGGTCAAACCGGCTGCACTGAAAGCATCAACAACTTCAGATGACTAACCCAACAGCTGAAGTCACACACGTGCTTAGATGGCTATGACCCTGGGGACTTGTCTTTGAAACCAGACTACAGTAAGTAAGAACAGCATTTAACAAAATTAATTTGTTCTCTCCTTGGTAGCATTTCACAACTGCGTCTGAATGTTTCTGGTTTTGCTTTGAGACACTCTGAAGCCACATGTGGAATACTGGAAGGTTTCACTGTAGAACCGGGTTTACCACACCTGCATAGAATCTCCAAGTGCTGAAGCTCAGCCAACAGGTGAGGACAGTGCAAACCTTTGAATTATAGTAAGATTTCCAATGATTAAATAAATATTTAATTCAAATGCATTCCATGTGAAGAGCCAGGAACACATTGCATACTTGTTGACCAGATACTAGCACGTGCAAATTTAACTACAATTACTAGGTCAAAACATACAAAATAAACATGCAAACATCATAAATGATAGTCTGAGAAGCTGATTTTAAGGATTCCCCTAGTACATTCCCTGAAACCCACAAATGACCAGCTAAGTGATCTGAACTGTAGTGTCAGCCTTTGTATTCCAGGAGGCAATAACAGTTTTGTTGAAGAACCACAGCGTATGCCACAAGGGACAACAGGAACTCACGCACATCGATGATAAGCATGGCTATTGGACAGGAATGGTCAGCACGTTGCTGAGAAAACCTCATGGTCACAAGGGCTTTGAACATCATGAAGGGCTGCTTTTACAGCTGTTCAACCGAGGAAAGTTTTCTCCTCACAGTCACAGAAGGCTCAGCAACATTCCCACAGCTGCTCAGATCCTTACCAACACCCCCAACAACCCACAGCACCTGACCTTCCTAGAAGGCATCACGTATTTACTCAGACTATATTGTGAAGTGCTGATGTTTCATCCTGCCATCCAAATAACGATGAAGTTGGGAAGCAAAAAGGCTGCATGTGCACCTCAAGGCTGATGGCAACTGTGGGATCAGAAGCAAAAAGCAGCCTCCTGCTGTAGCTCTTCCAAACACGAGCGGGAGTGTGAAAGGATGCACTGCAGAACACGTGCAACCTTTGGTGGTCCCAGTGCCGAGAGATCCAAGGGAAAGCAGCAGGCAGCAACAGCTTCAGTTATTGCTAAGCCCTGAAAATCAGCATTACCACTTGCACTGGCTGGGCTGTTGGGTTCTGCTGACTCTGAAGATAAAACAGCAGCTTATATTAAATAAGGCATCACGTTATTCTGTTCTGTACAGAAAACGATAACTTGGTGTGCTATAACTTGGTGAACTAATACGATAACTCTACGTGAAGAGTTAGTACAGGTCTCACTTCTTGCCTATTCTGATGATCTGAATTATCAGCAACACACAGAAATAGTTATAGGTAATATTTACACATCTATAGAAATAGGGAACCACACTTGAAACACGAGGGAGTAATGAATCAGTAGAATAGTGCATTTTAAGAGCTTCACATATGTCCTTTCTCAGGCTTGTCTGCATACACAAAAACACAGGATATTTTGTAAAAAACACTATAAAGCTAACTAAGGAAACATGCTTTCATTTCATCACCTGGCCTTTATTGATCCTTCAGTTCTTCCATGAGGAATGCTCAGTCCATGAAGAACAAACAAAGACGTAATTGTAATTCCACAGTCAGGGAGCAATGAATCTTCCCACAAGGCTAAAGTACAGGTGAAGTTTCAAGAAGTACTTGACTTGCAGGGTATTTTGTAAGCACAACAATCAGACACACAGAGAACTGAGCTACCACAGCCTATCATCTGTCATCTCATACAGTCTGCAGAGAAGTGAATTTAAATTGTCATAAACTTGGGACCGCCCTGACAACTGCACTATTACTACATTCAGAAGAAATTTAAACTAAGGAGAACAATATCTGTGATCTGCTATCTAAAATTAACACAACACAGGTTGGTAAGATACGTTGCCTTGGATGAGCTGGTGTACAAGTGCAGGGCAGCCTGAGAAAGCCTGCTGGCTCCTGCCTGTCCTCAGGGTTAAGAGTGAAGCTACAGTAGGTTACAGTCACTTCCTACAACCAGCAAGGATACACTTGTGTCAAACTAACAGCAACTACACAAGCAATAGGGTAAAGTAACATTATTAAAGTGTTTGCAATACTTAACAGCATTGCTATTTATTTTAATGCATAGGTGAGAATTAACTGTTTATATATAGAGAGAAAACACTATAAATACTTTAAAAAGCCCAGACCTGGTATTATTAGTGTGTGATGGGGAAAAGTATTTCCTCCATTTTCTGGGGTTATTTCCTTCCCCATCTGCCATTGACCCTACATACAGTCAATTCCACCACTCTTCATACAACCTCATGTTTCCCACTTAAGAGGTAATATGTGGAAAAGGAAATAGCAGTTGCCGTTAGTCTGCCTTTCTAGCCTGTTATAACTAAATAAGGTTCATAAGGTGACTTCAAACATGGTATTTGAAAATTTGATTGCAGTAATTCTGAACCTGAATTGCCACGTTAAGATCACAAAGCACACTGAAATCGTATTACCTTGAGAGGATTTGATGTGCACTGTTTTGTATAGGCACAGTTCTTCCTTTAAAATAAAATAAAATCTGCTGGAGTTTGGATTTAAATAATAAATCAGAAACAAAGTTTCATTCATTTCACTGCCCCGGGGAGGGGTTTGTGTGTGTTTGCTTGGGCTTTTAAAAGACTGTTCTCTTAGGAACAACGGATCAGGGCACCACGCCATTAAGCACAGTGTAAACACAGTAGAGAAAATCCTCACCTTGAGGGAACTGTAATTCAAACGTGCACTCAAACTGCATCCAAACCTTGTCTGCATTTCCAGCACTCTTGATACAATGTTAAGAGACGTGTTTTCTAAGGAAAGGATGGCATTATTATATAGGGAATGTATACACACTGCCTTTTTCCTCCTGCTACAAAACTCCCAGGAAATAACAAGTTAAAACTTGTTAAAAAAACAAGTTAAAAGCTAATATGTTCTTACACCTATGACAGTATTCTACTTGTGTATATTCCTCTATAACACTCTACCTCCCCTTATGAGCACTTCCTTGAAGAAATACTTCAGCTGAAACTTAAAAGACATTTTCCTCCTTCTGGCAATAAGTTACAACATATTCACGACTAAGCAGCCTGAAAAATGTTACACCAATAAATTACATGTACACAAATGGCACACAAATATCGACAGTTTAACACAATTTCTCCTTAAGTGCATTAACATTTTACCAAGTTGAAAAGAAAAGAGATACAGAAGTCAAAATACTCTTCATGAGGCTGAGCAGCAATCATAGCATGGCTTTAGTTGGGAGGGAGCCCTAAAGGCCATCAGTCCACTGCAACGAGCAGGGACACCTACAGCTCCATCAGGTGCTCAGAGCCCATCCAGACTGACCGTAAGGCGTCTCCATGGATGGGGCACCACCACCTCTCTGGGCAACCCGCTACACTTTCTCACCACCCCTACTGTAAAACCTTTCATATATCCAATCTAAATCTTCCCTCTCTTTGTTTAAAACCATTTCCTCTTGTCCTGTCGCAACAGACACTATAAAAAGTCTGTCCCCTTCTTTCCTGTAGCTTCCCTTTAGATCTCGAAAGGCCACTCTCAGGTCTCCTGGAGCTTCTGTTCTCCATGCTGCACAGCCCCAGATCTCAGCCCGTCCTCATAGGGAGGTTTTCCATCCCTTGGATTTTTGAGGCTCTCCTTTGGATGTGCCCCAACAGCTCCAGTCTCTCCTGTACTGAGGAACAGGTTGGAGGGTTGGCCTGAGTGATCTTGGAGGTCTTTTCCAACCTCGGTGATGCTGTGATTCCATGACTCTACTTCTGGATGCAGCACTCCAGGTGAGCTTTCACAGTGCAGAGCAGAGGTGCAGATCCCCTCCCTCACCCTGCAGGCCTTGCTGCTTTTGATGCAGCCCAGGATACAGTTGGCTTTCTGGGTTATGAAGGCACACTGCTGGCTCACACGCAGCTCACCATCCACCAGTACCCCCATGTCCTTCTCGGCAGGCTGTACTCAATCCTGCTATTCCCCAGCTCGTACTAACAGCAAGGGTTGTTACAACCCAGGTGCAGACATTTCACTTGGATTTGTTGAACTTCATGAGTTTCACCTGGGCTCAGTGCTCAGCCTAGGTCTGAGGTCTCTATGGATGGCATCCCGTCCCTCAGGCGTGTCGACCGCACCCCACAGCTTGGTGTTATCCACAAACTGCTGAGGGTGCACCTCAGCAATCTTTGTGTGCTACAGCAGTGGTTTGAACTTGGAACTTCTCCCTTAATGCACCTGGTACTGGTAGTTCTATGGAATACACATATGTACATAAGCTGTCGTATGTAGAGTCTTGTTATTCTTGTAATCCACATTCGCTATCACAGTATTTGTGACTTTATTGAACCTGCAGTGCAACTTTGCTAGTATTACATTACTGATCTTATGCTACCTCTAATTGCTGCTGCTAATTAGTGTTACAGTCTCAATAATATCTACTAATATATATTTGCTTGTAATACCTGTAATAGTTTATTATCTATACATATACCTGCCTTACCAATTGCTAACAGCAGTTTTAGTAAGTAAAGTACTCTGAAGCATGCTAAAGATCAAGTCAAGTCAAACAAGTCAAAGCTGTCAGTTACAACCTCACATCGACAAGAAAAGATGAGCAACGTAAAATAGAAGCTACTGGTAAAACCTGAGACTCCCACTTTACATCCCCCAAAATGCCTCAGTTTGTAGTACAAAGCCAACCCAGGCACTGCAGTGTAACACCACTACAGTGTAACAGACACAGCGAACATGCTCTGGGTCTGCTCTATGGATCAGCAGGGATACGTAACAGAACGATTGAGTGCACTCCTTGAAGGATACAACTTTAGCTATCACCAAAGTTTTCTACACAAATTTTGAATTTATAGCTTTTGAAAGATGCCAGCAAAAGCTGGGCAGCATCAAACAAATGCCAGGCACAGAATCTGTCAGATTTAACTACAGCCTTGGGGCTTGATAAGGTTTCCAAGCGGCTCAGTCCTACCTAAAAGCTTCATTTATGGCATCAGAAGGCGAAATTCCTAATTACATTACGTGGAAGAGAGTGTGCCTAAATGGCCCCAAAAGCGCACACGCACACACACACAAAGAACAAAGGACAGCATAAGAAGACAAAACTGTATCATCTTATGAAAATACTGAAGTTACAGGGAACCTGGTCTGACAGAAGAGTTTTGTGGTTTTTTTTTTTTCTTTCCCTGACAAATGGTTACATCTAAAAGTCAGATCAGATTAATGAGGCTCACTCAGTGTGGGAAACTGCACATCTATAATAAATATCTATCACAGACAGCTATATGAGACTACACAGGGTAATTCATGCTGCTCAAGTCTTAAGCAACTTCTGCTTGGTCAGCAGACTGGAAACTTCCCTGAAGAGTTTTATTTCTATAGCAGTCAGATAAAAAAAAAAAAAGCACAAACTGAATCTATATTATGTCAGTTCTAAGGACAGTTTTATAACTATTCCAGACAAGTTCTTCTCAAATTTTTTCACCTGCTCCTGTCCTTCCACTAAACTCTTTGAAATGGATTTTTTGGAGAACGTGAATGCTCCCCTGGAGGAATCATTATGAACATTAGGAGCAGAATATAATTTAGCAAGACTTGCTACATGAGCACACCAAGGTCAGCCCAGGGCTCCCATTCCCAGGCTTAGTCTCAAGATGCAATACATACTGCACTGCAGAAGGGAAAATCGGAGTAACACCAGTGAGTACTGTGCTATGCTGCCTCTTCCTTCACTTATTCATCACTTGGTGAGGAAAAACAAGTCCAGGTCTTTTCTCTACAACTGGATAAAGTACTCTTTATTTGTGTGTTCCTACACAAACCGTGCTGATGCTCTCACCCAGCAAAGACCCACCTGGTGCATTACCACACCGCAGAACCCCCCATCTGCTTATTCACATCCAGGATCACAACACAACAGGTTCCCAAGCATAGAAATACCATTTAGGTGACTACGTAGACTTCTAAGAACAAGTTTACACTAACGAATTACGTGCAATTTCCAGAACACGAGCACAGAGCGGCTACGGTTTGCTGTATTTACATCCTCATAGAGGAAATCTACCGCAAACCCTCACAAACAAGCGCTGGCCTTCTTCCAGCACACCGACGCTACGTGTTTGGTGGAAGCATTGGAAAAACCCACAGCGCAGCAGTGAGAAGGCAAAACGCTAGCTGTCCGTACAGCAGCTCGGAGCCGGAGGGAAAGGAGCTGGAAGAGCCTCCCGCCGCGCCCCGCTCACCCACAGCCGCGCTCCGAGCCCCCCGGGCGACAGCGGCACCGCTCCCCGCCTACCCACCGCCCGCAGCGCATGGCGACGCCCCCCGCACGTTTCCGAACGCGTTTCTTCCACCCAAAGCCCAGCTCCGCACCGCCGTACCGGCACCGCGAGCCGCCCCTACCTCCGGCACCGCGTTCCGAGGGAGAAGCCGCCCCCGGGCAGGCCGCGAGCGCCAAGCCGCACCGAGCGCTGCGCAGCGACCGCCCCGCCCCGCCGCCACGGCAGCGAGCGGCGCCCAGCTCACGTGACACGCGTGGCCGTCACGTGATGCCGCCCCACCGCCCTGGTAAGCCGGCAGCGATGAGGGCGGCAGGTTCAGCTGTGCGCCGCTTCGTAGCGCGCGGAAATCGCGTTTCGGTGACTTCGCTGTTTACGGGGGCCGCACTTAGCGCTAAACTACCCCCGCCATTTTAATTGGCAGAGACTTGCACCTGAAATCCTGTATTTCAATAAACGTCAGCGAAGAGCAGCGCTGAGCTACCGGCTGCACCAGGGGTGCATCTGACCAATTCAGAGATAGCAGAAACACACAGCGCTTGTCAGCCCCGAGCGAGGCACAGCTCACTCAGAAGGTGGCAAAACTTCGCACATGTGGGAAAAGTATCCAAAGGGAAACACAAAGGTTGCTGTCAGAAGGCCAGCCGCACCCTGAAGGAGCAAGGTGAACTCTGCAGGCAACTATACTGTATTTTTGGATCTCTCCATTATCCTCCAGTGAAAGGAACAGCTGGGATTATCTAATACGGGCCATTTAAGTCTTCTTATGTTTCTTCAGCACAAAGACACAACATAAAGGAAACCTCAAAGAGCCATCCAGGTTTCTAGGTATATTTATTAGACCAGGAATGCCACAGCACAAGTGGTACCCATGGAACAAATGCCATTATGTTCATGCACGTGTGTGTTTTTTTTTCTCCTGTGAAAGCTGGGACCAGTTCATTATAAGCAAAAGCGTTACTCCCTCCACTCTTTAGGAGTGACTCTGCCAACTGGTGACAAGCCCCACTCAATTCCAGATTTTGTAAGCACCTGTAGGAAGATAAAAATCAAGATGATTAACTCTGAAATCAAAGAAACATTCTGATACATGGATATTTCTACTGGTTTTCATTTCTTGTACTAGAACGTGTAATTGTGTTCATCTTTCAGTAAGGAAGTGGGAAATGTTTATGTTGAACATTACTTAAATATTTCAGTTTTCTATTTCAAAATACTTTAGAACCAAGGGTCTAGGATGTAAAACCACATCACTAAAATTCACTAAATCACTAAATTCATTTCCTGTACATGATCCAAATTGTTTCCACCATAACTTCAGTAAAAATTAAAACTAACACCATAACATATTCCGCTAAAACTTCTGCCTGAATAGCTAAGGCAACCTGTAGGGGAACTGTTGGACCATGGCCTGAACCTCTGTTTGACCACCTGAGGCGAGCACTGAGTCAGCCGTGGGACCACAGGTGAAGGCAATTCTACTTGGAAGGGGTGGAGCCTGGCTGCCTCTCCCAGACCCCATTTAAGGACTGACTGTGACTGGGGAAGAATCTCTTTCTGGAGATTGCTCCTTCTGAACCTGCAATGCTGGTGAGTACTTTTCATTTATCTCTGATTATCCTTTCCAATATGATAATCTTACTAGCCTAGCTTCTCTGTATGCTTATTGATCATCCAATACTTTACAGTATCTGCATAATGATTTTACATGACCCAAGTGAAATAGACAATGCTTGCTCCCACTACGTTTTAAAAATCAATGAAATGTGTGTAAAAACTCAAAACACAAAGTAATCCATCTCCATTTCTGTCACACTGCTAGTGACTTAAAAAAAAAATCTGAAATTCTTACCACTTAAAGTGTTTGCAACAGGTGAGCCTTTCAGAAAATAGCTGACAAGCTTACAGCTGCATCACAACAAAGTGGTAAAGCAAGGGAAGACTTACATATCCCCAGACAGCAGCAAAAACTGCTGCTCCGCCAATCAGCACCAGATTTCCGTATTTATCATGGAAGTTCGGTTCATGTTTGCGATGAGTTTGTCTTACTGCGGTATGCTGAACACCACGAGCTAAGGAATATTAAAGAGAATTAGAAATATGGGAGTCAACTCAAATATGAGCTCAAACTACTCATAATACTCATCTTCCACCAACAGAATGGCAACAATCAGCATTGAAAACTTTAGAAATAAAATTATCTTTAGCCTATTGGAACAAATTCAAAGTATGGGATTTTTGTGGCCCTGTTTGAGGCGGGGGTTGAAGATTCATGATCCTTGAGGTCCCTTCCAACCCAGGCTGTTCTGTGATACAGAAAGCCTTACATTCTGTTGTAGCCTTCCCAGTCTCTCCTGTGAAGGTTATTCCTGAGATTTGCTTCAGAAAGCAAATCCTTTGTTACCTTTTCTTTCCTCTGGGTCCCCAGTGTGGCAGTTCAATTAATAAAACTGTGTGACTATTTATCTAAGAAAGTAATTTGAGTAAATAAAGCTTTAATTTCAGAATCTGTTTTTGAGATTTCATATTTAGAAATTCTTCATTTTCAGTATGTGTACTCAAACACTTTCAGGAGGAAGCCCATCATCAAATTAAGGGGTTGAAGACTGGGTTTTAGAAACACATTTCTCATTCCCTTTATGATTTTTGGTGTGAAGGAAGTGAAGTGAAGAAGAAAAGGAAAATAGCTTCTCATTATATAAATAATTAGATATGGGAGGATCTCTTCAGAGGATAGGAGGTATGTATGTTCATTAACGTATAATACATATACGTAACATTTGTCTTATAAGATAGTCTTATTTATGAATCAAGCTATCAGTAGGCACAGTAAATTGCACAATAGTTGTACACAAATGAATTGATGAAACAGTGGTCTGTGCATACAGCCATTATACAGCAACTATTTTTTATATAGGAGTTTCACACATACTGCCTCAAAACATGACTGCCATCACTGCCCTGATGATACCCTAAATGCTGTCACATCCACAGAGTGCTCTGTGAACGTGAGCATGCTGCTCTGATGTTGAAAACAGCTGAAACAGCTCAGCACCTTTAAAGGACACAATAACTGCTTGTGAGCCAGCACCAAATGTGAGAGGACCGGGTCAATTACTGGTGAGTCTGTCACCAGAGAGACTGCTTTACTCTTGAGTTTAAGCATTTGGCACTGACAGCACTGAGCACCTCTCCATGCACTGTACATGATCTGGATGTGCTTTCAGATCAAGGAGGAAGAGCACCGAGCAAGGGAACCCAAGGTCAGCTCGACTAAAGGCGGTAAAAAAGAGGAGGAAGAAGAGGTAGAACGAAGAGACGGCAGCCTCCACCCGCCACCATGAACCTCACGGAGGGAAGCGAGTCCAGAGACGCTCTGGGAAGGGACCCGGGCCGCTGGGAGCCCTGACAGGGACGGCGGGAAGCCGTGCGGAGCCCTGAGGAAAAGGCCTGCCCCAACTTCCCGAGAGCCCCAGCACGGCTGCGATCCGGAGAGCCCCTTCCTTACCCGTGAGGTTGAGAGCAGCCCTGGCCACAGGAAACATGGTGCCGAGCACGGACCGACCGCGGCCGGCGGATGCGGGTACCCTTGGAGAGCGGTGAAAAACAAAATGGCCGCGCCGGAAGTCGCCAATGCGCTGCGCCGCCGAGTGACGCCCTCTGGAAAATGTAGTTCCGCCGAGGTACCACGGAACGGCGGGGGAAGCGCCTTTTCGCTATGAGGGAGCCCTAGCAGGGAAAGCTCTGTAGCTGAGTGACATGGGGGCTCTCGCTCTCTAGTATACAGATTGAGGAGCGCCTCTTTGCACAACACCAAAAAGCAGGCCTCCCATAATGAGCTGGCGCACCGGTGACGAAAGGATTAAGAGCCTCCCCGCGGCCGCTATGTACGCAGTGTCAGGATGGCCGAGTGGTCTAAGGCGCCAGACTCAAGGCGTGCCGCGCCTTCCCATGGCGGGTTGGGTATTCTGGTCTCCGAATGGAGGCGTGGGTTCGAATCCCACTTCTGACACCACTTTTTTTTTCTTTCGAACTGCACTAGTCCCCATCCACACTATCTGTACAGACGAAGGATTTCGAACACGATAAGAAACCGCGGTGAGCTCCGCAGCACTAGGATGGCGTTCTATAAAACGTATGTTCTCAGGCAGAGGGAAGTGTGAACGCTTGATTTCACTCAGCCCGTTACCACCGGCCGAAGGTTTTACATATGCATTTACTTCACGTTTTTAACCACCTTTCAAATACACGGCACAGCGATAGACACGCGCTTATAACAGCAGGGACGGCTCTGAGGAGCGACGAAGCTTCGCACAATCTTATTCCATATTTCTTTTCGGTTTCGGAGGGACTCCCGGCACGAGGTTCGCCTGCAGCCGGGAAGCCCGAGCACCCCGCAGCTCGCAGTGTTTATAAAAGCAGCCACACCAGCACTCCATGACAAAAAATTGCAGCGCGTTACCCTCCCCGTACCGCGTGCAGCGTAACACCTACCCCCGCCTTTCGGGAGCCCGCCCCTCAACGCAGCTCCGCCAATCCGGCTGCCCCAGCTTGCCTCCTCCTTATTGGCTGCCGCTCCAGAGCTGAGCGCAGAGCCCGCGAATAAAATGCCGGCAATGAGACGCGGGCTGGTGCTGCAGCCAATAGGAAGCAGGTGGGTGGTGTCGCGACTCTGTGGTCGGCCAGTAGGTGCGAGGTGGCGGTAAGGGGCAGCGATGGCGGCGCTGTCGGTGTTGGCGCTGCTGCTGCTGCTGGCCTGCGGTGGGCCGCGCGCTGCGGGGCAGAAGAGAAAGGAGGTGAGGCGGCGGTGCGCGGCCATCACGGCCTCAGCGGAGTGCCCGGAGCCGGGGGGGTGAGGTGGAGGCGGGGTTGATGCGGCGGAGCCCTCAGGCCCTGGGGAGCTGCTGTTGTGCGCTACGTTTGGCTTCCTGGTGTTTATATGGAACTTCTCTCGTTCCAGTTCCTGCCCGTTGTTCTGTTGCTGCACACCACCAAAAAGAGCCCGCTCCCATCGGTTTGATTCCCACAATCGAGATATTTATGAACATTGCTGAGGTCCCATCTCAGCATTTTCTCCTCCAGGCTGACCAGCCCCAGGTCTCTCAGCCTTTCCCCATACAGGAGATGCTCCAGGCCCCTCGTCGTCTTTGTGGCTCTCTGCTGGACTCGTTGGAGTTCTTTGCCTTTATGATCTTTATGATCTGGGT